AACAGGCAAGGTATCCATGCCCAAAATCTGGAGGATGCTGCCCACAAGTTTTGTATTTAAGACTAACACCCCCTCCCCAACATGGATTTATATCTCAGTGACTGGAGTTCTGGCAGTGAGGTTGGCCTATCCTCTAGGGGCATGTGGGAGACCTAGATGCCTCCTGAGATATGTGTGGCGGCTTTGTCTTCACCATGCAATTTGGTGGAGCCTGGGCACCCAAGATGGTAGATTATCCTCTTGGCCTTCCTTGATCCTCTCGCCCTCATTGAATTCCCTAGTAACCTTGGCAACAGTATCAGCCATGATCCATCCTGAGGACCCTGCATGATCAGCTGTTTACTGCTTAAGGACCAGATAGGCTGGAGAGGTAGTTCAGTGGTAGAGCACTTGCCTAGCATGCATGAGGCCTTGAGTTCCATCCCCAGGAAAAAAGGAAGGAAGGAAGGAGGGAGGGAGGGAGGGGGAGAAAGAGAATATGGAAGGAAGGAAGGAAGGAAGGAAGGAAGGGGCCACCCAAGCCTTCCTCTTAAGGGATCTTGACCTTGTGCAGAAAAAGGTAAAGTCTTGCTCCAGGGAGACTCTGGGATAGATGGGGAAACATGACTTTTTTTACAGGACCATCAAGAAAACAGCTGCAGCTCAGTGTGAGCCAGGCAGAAGTGAGCAGCTGGACCCTCAGGAGGGCTAGAGCAGTCTTGGAAACCACCTGGAGGAACTGGGGCTGCTCTGGGCAGGGTGCAGTAGAGTTTTGCTGTCCGTGGTGCTGAAAGTTCTGGGCCTCTGTGCTGATCTCGTTCTTTCAGTAAATATTGCTTCTGGCCCTCCCCACCTCTCTGCCATCACTTTCTCTCTCTCTATCTCCCTTCTTGCCATTTTCTTTCCATTAGCCAAGGACCATACTGCTTTCCCCACAGTTTCCTTTGATCTTTCCTCCCTACCTCCCCTGTCTTTGCACTGTTTCCACTGTAACTACCACCAAAACTGTTTCATCCCAGCCCCTGTCTTCCATGGTCCCTGTCTCAGAGATAGAGGCGCCAATCTAGGGGGCACTTGAGAGTAATGTAGGCATGTTTGGAGTTGCCATGGCTTGGTGGTTCATTGACATTCAGTAAATTGGGAAGCCTCACACAACCAAAAACTTGACTCACCTGAGATGCTAATAGCATCATTGGGAACCAATTTACTTACTTTTCCTGAGACGGGAAACAGAGGCCAAGAGAGATATGACTTAGCCATGGTCATCTAGCCAGCCAGGGTTAACACTGTGTCTAGATTATAACCCCCATCTCCTAGCCAGGCCTTTGGACTATCCTTGATGAGTCACTGAACCAAGAACTACTATCAAAGTGTTAACAACTGACAGGGGGGAGAACCTGTTGCTTCAGGGACTTTTAACAGGTCAGGGCCACTCTGGGGATAGGGACAGGCTACCTAAACTACAGAGCCTTGAACCACAGAGCCCTGCTGTGGAAGACCCCGCCTGCACCATTCAGAACCTAATGCCCCTGGCAGGCCACATAGCACACCATCAGCATTGATCCTCAGCAGGGGCACCTGTGTTGTTATGGTAACGAGTACCCACCTCTTCTCCAGCCCCGTGGTTCTGGCGTTGCCACCTGCCCTCAGTCTTTCCATGGCCATCCTCCTGTGGTTCCTGAGGGGGGGGGCTCTTCCCCTCTTTTATCCAAAGCTGTGCCTGAGGGCTCGGTGCCCTCATTAGCTGCAGCGGACACCTCTATCTTCCGGTCTTCTGGATCCCAGTGTCTGTAGCCAGAACCTCAGCCCCAGACAGGGCTGGGCCCCTAGAGGGAAGTCCCTCCCATCCCACATGCCACATCTCAGACCCTGCTTTTCAAGATTCACCCAATCCAAACCAGTTCAATTCAACCCACAGGGACTCAATGGCTTGTTGCTGAGAAAGGGGGGACCCAATGACTCCAATATGAGGGATCCAATGACTTCAGTATGGTCTCTGCCTATTTGTCTGTCCCTAGGGATCTCAAGTCTGGGAGCAAAGAAAAGGATTAGGTCCAAAGAGACACAGTCCATAGAATTACGACAATCTATCTGAAGTAGATTTTTGCTTTTCATACTATGGATTGTGGGACAATAGTGGACTGTGAAATCAATTTAGTGGGTCATGACCAGCATTTGTATATGAAATGAACAGAATACATTAGAACAGAATAGAAAGAAAAACATTGTAGCGGTTTCCAAGATACATTTCACTCTGTGAAACTGGATTTCAGGCAAGTGTGTGAGTCTGTGTGTATGTGTGTGTTGGATCATGATACAAAAATGTGTTATTGTGGCTCAAGAACGATGAAGTGTGAAGGCCTATGTTCCAAGAGGTAGGAATATATAGAAGGTACTTAGAGGAAAAAAAGAAAAGATTGCTTTAGACCTGGGGTTTTGGGGAAGGATCCATGGAGGACGTGGCACTTGAGCTGGGGTTCAAGAGAGAGGAGTTTGCTGTGAGTAGTGAGTGGGACTCAGGAGGGTGTTTAAGGCTGGGCCAGCACAGAGCGGGGTTGTGCCAGGCCTGTTAGCACAGCGTCAACTGCAAGGGAGACTGGGAGACGTGGGCCTGGGTGTTGAGGGCCTTGAGTATCATGTCAAGAAGGTTGGACTTTATTCTTAAAGCAGTAAAGAGCTATTTGTGGCTTTTAAGCAGGAATCAGCATGGTTGAGGGGTCAGGACAAGCAGCAGGGAGGCAAGAAAAGACTGTCCAGGCAAAAGGACTGGAGAAAGTGCTGAGAGAGGGACAGGAGGAGGTGGATTGCAGAGCAAGGAAAGGAAGGGACAGAATCCATGGCACTCAGGGGCCTCGAGGCATTGTTGGGAGGACAGAAAAGCCTTCCCTTTGCAGCCTCTCCATCCTGACCCCACTCCCTTCCACAAGCCCACTCCTAGTCAGTGTCCCCACGAGATGTCATGCTTGGGAAACAGATATTCTGAAACCCTGACTTCAGAGATCCCCCACACTTCTCAGAGAGACCAGATTCACACCTGGACAACTCTGACTGGTCACAAGACAAGGGCTGGAGTGTGGGGCTGGGGTGAACAGGACTGAGGGTGCTCAGGAGAGAGAAATCAAGGGGATGGGAGTAATCAGGGAGGCCTTCCTGAAGGAAGGGACCTCTCCCTGAACTTCAGGAAAACTGGATACCTATGAGCACTTTCCAAGAAGATCGTTGTTTCTGCCCTTTCAGCTCTCACCCAAATTAGGGTCTGTTTCATCTCACCCCTCATGCACCTCACAGAGACTCTAAACCCCCATCAGAAAGACAGTGTGCATCTTACAAAGGATCTGCCCTTATTCTCATCTGCCAGGATACCTTTATTCTTTCCTTCAGTGACGTCACTGGCTCACATGTGGAGACAGTCCCCCCACCTCCCGCCCACTTCAGAATCACAATGTGGAATGAATGTTTGTGAGAAAGATGTGCATCAGAGGTCCAAGACCACCTGGGAGCCAGTTGCCAGGGACAAGGGTGAGGGACAGGTCTCCTCTCCTCAAGGGTCAGGATAAGACCTGGACAATCCCCTGACTGACTCCTTCAACCAGCCAGAGACGGGCCTCACGCTGACAGGCCCCAGAGGCAGGACTAGGCTGGCCATAACCCTGAGTTTGAAAAATCAGAGCTCAGAGCACCAAATTAAAGAATAATTAAGCTAATAGAATCTCCCCGTTGTTTTTGCTCTCTGGCAAGTGCTCCTTAATAATTCCATTGCTTTTAACTCACTGTCGGCCCAACGGAAGTGGGTTTTTAAGTAACTTAATTATTTCAGAACTTGCTGCTTCCAAATACAATCTAAGGTTCCCCCTCCAGCCCTGTGACTTGGTGCTCTGTGAGCTATTTATTTTCATTAGCTTTGTATTGTATATCGAACATAAGCCAAAAAGAAAAAATACACAAAAAAACTGCCCATTAGCCAGAGCAGAACCCTGGTACATATCACCCCCAAACGATGCACTGTTCAGAATTGCAGTCAAGTGGGGGCGGCGAGGCAGCTCATGGTGTAATGCAGAGCGGAGGCAGACAAAGGGCTCTGGGGGTCCTCTGGAGTGGGGAGGAGGCCCTCCTGGTTGGAAGTTAAGGGCACGATGTCCCCAGGGGGTGGCTCAGGCATTAAACCTCCACCCACAGTAGTCAGAGCTAGGACCGAGAGAAGGGCAGGTACCAGCAGCTTTCCTCCTTTGTGCCTTCCCCTTTAATCCAAGTGCACTTTTCTACGTTGGACGTTAGACGTTGCTGCCTTTTCATGAACCATATTCCAACTTTAAGGAGGATGCTGGATCCCGAACACTTGGAGACATGGCACGGTGCTCTCCCAGGCAGCGGCAGCTCAGGGGCAGGAACACAGCCCAAATCTCCCTCAGGCCTGTTCACCTTGACTTAGAAGCCCAAAGGTCATGAATGCAAAGCCCAGAGGCAGACCTGGGTTGCACTTCTTTTTTCAGTGTCCTTGGCCAGCAGCTTCATCTCTTTGTGCTTCGGTTTCCAGCTTCCTCCCTATGAATGGGTGGATTCTGTGTTAGTACCTACTTCATAGGGTATCCCTATTGTCCTACCCTGTCTCAGTAACACTGTGGTGGGAGTCATGAGGATCGAATGGACAAGCATCTCTGAAGCGTTTAGAAGAAGAACTGGCACCTGGAAACATACGCTATGCCCTTGGTAGCTGGTGCTAAAATGCAAATACTCACACTGGGGAAAAGAACTATGGAACTCATAAATACAAAGTGACCAAGGGAAGGGTGGCCATTATTTATTCTGCTAAAGGCATCAAACCTTTAGACACAAACCCAGTGCTCACAATTGGGTGCAATTTACACGTAAATGACTTTTACTTAGATTTTCAGAGGTGCCTTATATTTCTGGACCCAGGGAAACTAAAGAAGGTGGACTTTATCCTGCAGGCACCAGGCAGCCAGGGAGGGTTCTTGAGGCGTGGAAGTGACCCGACTCTTGGTGACTGAAATCTTTTGTAGGGAATGCCTACCGAGAATGCTTAGACAACGGGACGTGGGCCTCAAAGATCAACTATTCACAGTGCGAACCCATTTTGGATGACAAGGTAAGTATACCCCCCACAACTGCCATGACCCTGGTCCTCCTATAGGTATTAGGACTAGGGTTGAGCACAGAGGATCCCAAGGGTGACAGAACCAGTTCTGTGTCACCCAACCATTCATTTGTGTGCCTCATGCCCGTATCCCTATTGTCTTACCCTGTCTCAGTGACACTGTGGTAGGAGTCAGGAAGGGGGACAAGGGGTCCCATCTCCAGGAGAGCTTGGGCCAAGGCAGCATGGGACACAAAAAGGAAATGACCACATGACCAGTGCTCCCCAACATCTAATAGGCTGTGACTGCACACCCTCCTCCTCCCCTGAGCCCCGGTTTCCTCATCTGGCATTCTGATTTTGTGACTCCATGTGAAAACCAGTGTAGCCTCCCACAAGGCCCATCCCCCAGGAAGCTGGGTCCTTTATGCTGGGACCTCTCCTGCTCTGCTCCACTATCACTCTAGAGAGAGTTGTTTTTTGTTGTTGTTGTTGTTGTTGTTTTTGCTGTGGTCACTATAGTGCTGGCCATCGATCCCAGGCCCCCCACGTGACAGACAAGCACTTTATCACTGAGCCACACCCCCAGCAAGCTGTGCCTCTCTCCTGATCCCAGCGCCATCCTCTCCTCTCTCACCCAACACAGTCCTCAGTGGGGGGGGGGGGAATTTTTGCCCCAAATGAAGTCCCACTCCAGAGGAAAAAGCATTTGCCTCCCCTGAGGAAGTGAGGCCACAGAGGGGCAGGCAGGGGGTCATAAGGTTTGGATAGAAAGAAGCTCCGGCCAGCTCTCTGTCCTCATTTCTTCATTCTTAGAGGCCAAAAGTCAGTGGTGACTGGAAGTGGGGGTGCGGTGGGGCCTTGACTCACCCTGGCTGGAGGGAGTCCACTGGCTTTGTTTAGAATTGCCAGTACCTGACGATAACAACAAACTGACTGACGGACAGTTTGAATGTCTAATGCTCCGTTGATGCTGGACTCCCTCTCTGCTATACCCAGGGAAAACCCATCCCCAGGCATCTATCTCCAGGCTTCCCATAGGTCGCTGCTTCTGAGGTAGGAAGGCAGGTTGACACTAATGCACAGATGTCAGAACTGAGGCCCAGACATGAACTAGCTCACCCTCAGGTGCTCAGCCATCTGGGGGCTCAGCAGAGATTCAACTCAGATGTGGCATTATAGAGCCACATCTGGCTCTTCTTTCTGAATCTGTATATATGTTTCTGGGATATCTCAGAATAGACCATATCCAAATGTGCCCCCCCTAAAAAAAATGCATGTTGGGAGGCCTGGCCACAGCCAATTATAACAAGAGCCACCAAGACCAACAGGAGTGAGCTCGTGGAGACTGAGGCATGGTGGTGACACTTGGAGCGTCTGCTGCCCCCAAGGTCAAGACACACAGGGATGGGCATGGCTGGAGTACCCAGGCCCACCCCCACATGTTCATGGCCCCCGTCTCCCGTGTCTGTCTGTCTGTCTGTCCAGCAGAGGAAATATGACCTGCACTACCGCATAGCTCTCGTTGTCAACTACCTGGGCCACTGTGTCTCTGTGGCAGCCCTGGTGGCCGCCTTCCTGCTTTTCCTGGCTCTGAGGTAAGTCTGCCTCCCAACCTGCCTTCTCTTCCTCTTCATCTCTCCTGGACATCTCACCTCTGCTCTGAGCACCTTAGAGCCAGTTGACAGAGGAGGGATGGGCCTGGTGCTGGGCACTGACCATCAGCAGGCCTGTGGGATGCCAAGCAGGCCCAACCAGGGCCTCCATGGTGGGAATTGGCTCCTGGGGTAGCCCTATCCCCACTTCAGGCTTGGTCTCTACCTGGCCTTAGGGTGACTTCAGTCTCAGCTGACCCTTGAGCCCCACTGAACCCTGGTCCCAGCCCCATCTGAGCTCTGACCCCAGGTGGACTGACCCCAGCTGACGCTGGCTGACCCCTGCCCGGGGCCTCTCACAGGAGCATCCGCTGCCTGCGGAACGTGATTCACTGGAACCTCATCACCACCTTCATCCTGCGAAACGTCATGTGGTTCCTGCTACAGCTCATCGACCACGAAGTGCATGAAAGCAATGAGGTCACTGCCCGGGGAGACCCGGGGCTGGGCTGGGGGTCTGGCTCTGGGGGATATCCATTCTCTGCTCGATACTCAGGTGCAAAACTAAACGTGAGCTCACTTCCACCCCAGTCACTGTCCCCCCAGGACCAGGGAGGCAGGGGCCAGGGCTGCCAGGCCAGGGTCTTAGGAGCTGCATAAGCCTGACTGGTTTATTCCATTCCCGTCTCCATCTTGTGAATTCGGGTGCCTTAGAGAAAAAGAGAATAGAACTAACCTCTGTTGAACTCTCTCTCAATGAATCCCAATGAGAGACGGCTAGGGGTCATTTCCTCCTTGACACAGATGTGGAAACTGAGACCAGAGAGGTTCAGTGACTCTCTCAGGTCAGTGCTGTAATGATGCCTCCACATCATGGGCTTCCCTTGTGTTAAGTGTCCACCCTGGATTTGTGTCAACTGTGTCCAGGTCATTATAAAACTGTAGACTAGACTGGGGCCAATACAGCTCCTCAGCACACCCATGAGAGAAAAGGCATGAGGCTTCTCCACACTTTTTCCTCAGAGGGCCTGAATCTCAGCAGACACTAATCCGGTTTGACCCTTAACTTGACCTTACCCTGAGTCAAGTTCAAACAAATTTAATCAGATGCCTTTAGTACCAGTGAGACATCCTTCACTTACAGAAAAGGCCAGGGTCGGAGTAGGGAATTTTTACCCTCCCACCTAGAAAGCAGGACTTTCTACAATGAAGGAGACAGACACTACATGGGCCAAAGATCAGGGCTGAGACCACGGGGCAAAGCAGCAGAGCAGCTAGCTGCTCAGCACAGGAGGGTTATCCAGGAGCCAGGGGTGTCAGAGCCAAACAGGGAGGAGCTGAGTGCTCCCTTGACCCAGGGCTGGCTCACACCCCAGCCTGCTGTCCCCACCATTCTCCATGTCCCAACCTTGGCTCTGAGTTGCCCTGGGGTTGAGTCAACAAGAAAGAGGACCAAGTCAGGGCTTCCAGGCTTGGAGGTCTGTGGCCTAGACCTTGGCTCTGTTTGGTCTACTCTGTGGCTCTAGGCACAGCAAAGTGCTGGGGGTGGGGGTCACCTTGCTCAGAAGGACAGGTACAAATCCACTTCTGCCAAGGAGGCAAATCAAAACAACAGCCACACTCACAACCACAACACTCCTCCTTGGTGCCTGTCTGTGCCACCCTTCACTTCCTCTTACCATCCCTTAAGGCAGTGTCAGTTACAGCTCAGGGAGGCACAGCGACTTGCCCCCTCCAGAGCCAGTGCTGATGGTTCCAAGTCCAGAAGTTCCCAAGCCACAGGCTCTGCAGAAACCCTCCTAGGCTGCAGCTCCTCCCCACACTCCCTTGACTCTTCTCTCACTGGTTTTCTTTTTTTTTTTTTCCAAATGAAATTTCATATCCCATTCCTCGAGAGCCAGCCTGACTTGCTGTGAATTGAAGGTGACCTGGAACGTGACGGTGAAAACACAGCACAGTTCAGTTCCAGCCTTCCAGCTCCCCTCTTCCTTATTAAGAAGAGACATTGAGAGGAGTGGGGAGATGTTAAACCCATAGGCACCAGGGAGAATGGCCCCTCAGTCTCAGGGGGAGGGTGAAAGAGTTGGGGAAGTGCTAACTTTTTTGGAGTGAGATTCAGTGGGGTTTGATGCCACATCCATCCACCCACTTTGGGCGGCCCACACCTCGCTGTCCTTCCTGGGCAGGTCAGCCCTGCTGGGCCCCAGGAGTCCCTGACAACCCCTGCCCCATGCACAGGTCTGGTGCCGCTGTATAACCACCATCTTCAACTACTTTGTGGTCACCAACTTCTTCTGGATGTTTGTAGAAGGCTGCTACCTCCACACCGCCATTGTCATGACCTACTCCACTGAGCGTCTGCGCAAATGGCTCTTCCTCTTCATCGGATGGTGTGAGGCTCCCAGGAGTGGCAGGGCCCCATGGGGGAGGGGGCACTGCTGAAAAGGTCCTCTCCCCTCACCCTGGTCCAGTGGTACAGAGGAAAAAGCCAGGAGTCCCTCCAAAAGATGGTCCACACCTGGCCCTGCTCCCTTGTCCAGAGTGACCAGTCCAAAGACTCTTGTCTCTGGCTTCAGAAAAGAAACTGGCCAGGTCCAGTAGCACTCACCTATAATCCGGGCCACTCAGAATGCTGAGGCAGGAGGATCTCAAGTTCAAGGCCAACCTTAGCAACTTAGTGAGCCCCTCAGCAACTTAGCAAGATCCTGTCTCAAAAAAAAAAAAAAAAAGGACTATGGGCATCTCAGTCCAATAAAGTGACCCAGGGTTTAATTTCCAGTTCCAAGAAAAAAAGGAAAAGAGAGAGAGAAACTAGATGGTTATACCTTCCTGTCACAAAATCTCCAAAAGCACATCATTCCCTGCTTGAAGAAGAGAGAAGGTGGGGTAATCCAGGAATGGGGCATCCCTGGGCCATGGATGGCCTGCAGTTGGGAAAGCAGAAATGTAGTCCCAGAACCCTGTGGTCCCCTACCCTGAATTCTACAAGAGGGTCCCTGTCCATCTATGTGTCCCCTGCAGCACGTGTCTGTCCTTCTTTCAGGCATCCCCTGCCCCATCATCATCGCCTGGGCAGTTGGCAAACTCTACTACGAGAATGAACAGTAAGTAGGATGGGCCGCCATTTGGATTGTGGGTTAGCACAGGTCAGCCTGGGGCTCAGGCCAAGCTGTAGCCATGGCAGGTTTTCCTTCCTGGTGTCCTGAGACTGGAAGAAATATCCTCATTCCCAGGAATGCTTGCATGGTGGGTTTCAAGGCACCTTTGTTGAATTCCATGAGGAGCTGTGGTTCCTTGAAGTGCCCAGTATGTGTGGCTCTTTCAGCCATAGAGATGTCTTCTTCCTCAGAGTTGGATGCAGCAGATCTGGCCAAGAATCTGTGGATGAGACTGAGGTCTCCAGGCTCTCTATCCAAGGCCGCATCAATGAGCATTTGATGGGGTTCCCCCAAGAGCTTACTTTTTTTGTTTTATCTTAAATTGTATTTATTTCACTCTTATTTGTGTGTGTGTGTGTGTGTGTGTGATTTTTTTAATGTTGTTATTTGTGCATTATAGTAGTGGGGTTCACTTTGATGTATTCATATGCCTATAGCATAATTTGGTCCATTTCAATCCCCTCTCTCTCCCCTCTCCCGATCCCGTTCATTTCCTCTACTGTTCTTCCTTCTATTTACTTGTTGTTTTTTCAACTGGTTCATTATAGTTACACATTAAAAACAAAATTCACTGTGATACATTCATTCACATACATAGCATAATTTGGTCAATGTCATTCCACAGTTTCTCGCCCCCCCCCCCACTTTTTAATTCTTTATTTCTCTCTAGCTTCTGCCTATGAGAGAAAACATTTGAACCTGGACTTTTTGAGTCTGGCTTATTTCACTTAGCATGATAGTCTCCAGTTCCATCCGTTACCAGCAAATGACATAATTTCATTCTTATTTATGGCCAAGTAAAACTTCACCATGTATCTATACCACATTTCCTTTATCCATTTGTCTGATAACGGGCACCTAAGCTGGTTCCATAACTTGGCTGTTGTGAGTTGTGCTACTATCAACGTTGTGATGCATGTATTGCTATATAGTATGCTGAATTTTAGTTCTTTTGGATATATACCAAGGAACAGGATAGCTAGGTCACATGTGGTTCCATTGCTGGTCTTTCATGAACTCTCCATACTGCTTTCCAAAATGGTTATACCAGTTTTCAATCCCACCAACAATATGTGAGTGCACCTTTCCTCCACATCCTTATTTACAATTATTGTTATTTGTTTTCTTGATGATTTCCATTCTAACGGGGGTGATATAAAATCCCAGTGTAGTTTGATTTGTATTTCCCTGATTGCTAAGGATGTTAAATATTATTTCATATACTTGTCCATTTTCATTTCTTCTTTGGGGAAATTTCTGTTTAGATCATTTTCCCATTTATTGATAGGGTTTTTTTATGTTTTTTGAGTTCTTTATATATTCCGGATATTAACTCCCTATCAATGTAGCTAGCAAAGATTTTCTTCCATTCCATAGGTGTTCATAAGAGCTTGCTTTTTGACACCACAGTCTCTTCCTAAGTGCAGTGACCTATCCTAGGGTCCTCTCTGCATCAGAGTCTGGTACACTGAGCCATGGCCCAGATAATAGCTCTGCCACAGGCCAGCCAAGGAACAACCAGGAAGTTAGCTGTCAACAGCTGAGAGAGGGGTCCCTGGGGACCATCAATCTCTGTGTGCAGGTCTCTATCGCATTTCAGGGGCTGCAGAGTATTTAGGGGTTGGGGTAAGGATGTGGTGGAATTCCAGGAGCTTAACATTAGGAAAGGCTCATAAAGGTAAAAGGTGCCCAAGACTAGGTCTGACTTGGTAGGATGTGAGCTTCCTGTCAAAGGGGGTGTTCAAAAAGAGACCAGAAATTCAGGCAGCAGGGGAGGTTCCTGTCTGAGGCTGGTGTACACAGGATAACCTCTGAAGTTGTGACAGACATAGTTTCCTAAAGTCAATGGACCCTCCCTGAGGTCCAGTAGTTGCTGGCAGTGCCAGATTGAGACCTGGCCCAGTCCTTCCTCTGGACTCTCAAGCCTCTCCCTGACCAGCATCCCCAGAGAACAAATCAAGCCCTTGGCAGCCAGTGAGGCCAGCCAGGCAGCAGGCTCCTTCCACTGGGTACAGAAGGCTCAGCTCAAAGCCTGAAAGACCCAGCTCGGGCAGGAGGAGGCTCCACCTCCACATCTGTTGCTTTGTGTAGCTGAGTGTCTGGACACAGAGCAGCAGGTTCTGAGCAATGTGGGAACAGGTGGCACCGGGCAGATAGGTCCTAGGCCACTGAGGGGAGCCCAGATCCCCATACCCGTGCTCCTGCATGCCCAGCCCTGTGTCCTGCTGTCTGCAATGGAGTGGGGGACTGAGGAGGAGACTTTCCCTTGGTCTGGCTGGGAAGATCAGACCCATCCCATGGAGGAAAAGACAGCTCTGGGCCAGGTGATCAGTGGGGCTGGCGCTGGGGCTGTCCACAGGCTTTCTAGGAAAGAGCAGCCCTGAAGATGGGGCTCAGGAAGGGTCAAGCTGGAAGATGAGCTGGTTCCAAGTTGGGAGCGGTCCCCCTTGGCCCAGCTCAGCAGACCATCCACTGCCACCCCATGTTTGCAGGTGCTGGTTTGGCAAGGAGCCTGGCGACCTGGTTGACTACATCTACCAGGGCCCCATCATCCTCGTGCTCCTGGTAGGTCCTCAGTGGGAAATGGGATGGGGCTGGGGCCCTGGGAGGACAGCAGAGGATCCACCCAAGCAGAGATGCATGGAAAGATGTCACCTGGGCAGCCCCTGGCAACCCTGTACCTTCTACGCACCACGGCAGTTCCCAGAACCACCCAATTCTCCCTTCTTCAGGCTCTGGGGAGACCTCTGCTCCTCTCTGGACCTGAAGCTCTTTCTCTGGGTGGAGGCAGGGACTGGCTGGTGGAGTTCTAGTACCTTCCCCCCATCTGACTTCCCTTGCCATGTACAATGCTGAGACAGCCAGGTGAGCAGGCAGCTGGGGGCAAGAGTAGGGTGTGCAGCTTCTGTTCAGCCCAGACCTGCATTCCTCTCTGCCCCCAGCCACCCCCTCTGGGGTGCTGCCCACCACCCCAACATGGAGCGGCAGATCCCAAATGCAGCATAATGAGCAATTGTTCCTTGTCCAGCTCCCCGCCCTTTGCCAGTATATTCGCATCTCAGGTATAATTGCCACCACATCTTTAATCCACAACGAGCTTTAATTAAGATAGAGTTTAAGCAGAGGCTGCTGCAGCAAAAAGGACCCATTATATATCATACATTAAAAAAAAACATATAAAAAAGCCCCATAAGAAATTGGCATTTACGTAAGACTTATTTCAGGCTCGGTAATTTCAGGCTCCAGTATGTACTGGCTTCCTTAAAGGGCCACTGCACCCTCTGAGAGAGCACAATCCTCCTCTCGTACACAGCAGGTGCTCAGTGGGGCTTTCTTTTGTCTACCATGGAGACAATTACTGTTTATCTCTATTTCCTTACTCTCCTCCTTGTTATGACTTCCGGGATTCATTGGACCCCTTCTTTGGATTGTCCTTGATGTCTGTCAACTGATGATGACTAGGAAGTTTTCTCACCCACTGCCTGAAATTCCACCATCAGGGCTTCACTCACGTCAGAGGCGGAAGCAAGTCCTTGTTAGAAGTGGGGGGCGGGGATGGTCCTTGGACTCTGAGATGCAGTGATGCCGTGAGTCACTCACCCCTCAGTGTGAATGGAAACCACACAAGATCTGTTCCCTCCCTGCCTGCTGCTGAGGACCCATTGCGCAGAGATAGCGCTTTTGATGAACTGGGACCCAGCCAATAAAGGCTGGTCTGGACCGGGGCCAATGGTAGCTCCCTGCTGTAGGACTATTGGCCAGGTAACAAGGAAACACAAGCAAAGGAAAGTGAGCTGTGTCAAGACCCAGCTCCCTGCCTCCCTGAGCACGCCCCCTTCTGTGGCTTCATGCCCACCTTGCTATTGGACCCAGCTATTTGCACCGATGGGTGCTTCTAGGTTCCAAGCTGAGCACTTCCACAAACTCTGTCTGTACGACCTCCATTCCTCACATCCTTGATGCAAGAGAGAAGTAGGAATTAGGCTCCCCATTTTATAGGCAAAAACACAGAGAGGTGGAATGATTTGCCCAAAGTCTGAACCCTTAGCTGGTAGAGCTATGTGTGGCTGGGGCAGGTCTCTCCTCTTGTCATGCACCTCCTGCCTGCTGTCTCTTTGTTGGAGATATGCCTGGCATTCCTGCCTCTTCACTGGCTACATTTCTGCTGCTAAGACACACTCATTTATTTCTGGATTCTGGGAAGTGAATTGGGTGGTTGATTTGCAGGAAGCCTGACTCTGGCTGGTTGTTGTCATGGGAAAGGGATGTGGCATTCATCAGGTCAGCCCAGGGCATAAAGCCTTCCATGAGTATTCCACGCATGCTGACTCTCAAGACAGTGGCTTATCCTGGCTGGACAGATGAGGAAGCAGAAGCTCAGAGAGGTTAAGCAACTTGCCTAAGGACACATAAATGCAAATTGGAACAGTGTTCATTCAATGGAGGTTCCCCCTGGGAAATTAACACCCCACCTCGCATTTCTTTTTTGTTGTTGTTTTGGTACCAGAGATTGAACACAGGGGCACTTAAGTACTGAGCCACATCCCCAGCCCTTTTTCATATTTTATTTACAGACAGGGTCTCACTGAATTGTTTAGTGCCTCACTCTGTTGCTGAGGCTGGCTTTGAATTCATGATCCTCCTGTCTCAGCCTCCAGAGCCATTGGGATTACAGGCATGCGCCATCGTGCCGGGCTAAAACTCCACATTTCCAGGCCATCCTGTTTTCATTCTGAGATATCTCCTATGACACTAGAGAAAGCCTCAAACTAGGTACTGACCCCTGCAAAGTGACCAAGAGTCCAGGCTAGCCTTCTACAGTGTGTGGTACAACTGGTCCGTTCTGGTGATGCCTGGGCTCTGCATGGATGGTGGCTTATGGCTCCTAGCTCAGCTCACTTCCCACCTGCACCCCTGCTGCCCCTGTCCCAAATGCAGACTCCAGGTCCAACCTGCCACTGGCTATCTGTATTTGTAACAAGCACCCGGGTATTTTTGCAGTGTACACCCTGGATCCCAGGCATAGTCAGTTGCTGAGAAGGGAAGTTGATTGTCTGGGATTTCTCCACGGATCAGCCAGGTCCCACCTGCTTAGAAAATTCCAATAGGAAGGCAAAACTCAATGACATCAATGAGGACCAGTCTCCTGAGGCCTATAATACTGACGGGGAACTAGACTAATGAGGCATTCCAAGTTCCATCCTGAGGGACTCCCTGCAATCATTCACCAGGCTCTGCAGAGCCACAGGGGGCAGACAGGTGTGTTCCTGGTGAATGCCTGAAACAGGGAGCTGTGAGCTTGGCAGCATGAGCAGGGAGGCCTGAGAGGTGGTACAGAGCCACAGGAAGTCAGGAGACCAGGACGGAATCAAGCAGAGGACTTGCCCAAGCCCTGGGCCCTCCTCTCCTGACCTGGGTTTAAAGACAGCAGGAATTGAGCCTGAAACCACATAAGGACAGATGAGCCAAGGCACCGGGTCTATGTGTCTCTCTGCCTCCTTCCTCCCTCTTTGCCTTCCTCCCTCCCTGCCTCTGCACACAGAGGTTTAGAACAAAGAGGGCTTCCTGCAAGCATGGCGACTTGATAGTGCCTTCACCTTCCAGCAGTGGCTCAGAGACCAGTAAGCTGGATCTGCCCTTGGTGGTGGTAGGTGGGCAGGAGCACCCCTGGAGGTTGTGATGTGATCCGGAGAGATCTCTTCTTGGTGCCTCAGATCCCCACTTGTAACACAGGCATGCTAGTTCCTGCCACACAGGATCACTGTGAGGACGAGTGGGCTCCAGACACCTACTGCTGCCCTTGGGTCTCTGCCTCAGCTCCTGCCAGCACCTGAGCTAGGGGTTCAAGACCCTGTGCCGATGACCCCCAGGGCCTTCCTGAGCTCGGATCTATAGTGGGGACCTATTAGAAATTCCCTGTCCCGGAGCCTGGCAGTACCAGCGCCTTGTCTCTGGTTCCTTCTGTTTAGCCCTACATTTTCTTGCGGTGACGTAGGTATAAGGAAAAGGCCACCAAAGCCTATTGCCTCTGCTCAAATCCTGACAGCATCCCCTGCTAGTACTGTGGCAGAACTGAATTATTTAGGCTTCTGAACCTCAGTTCGTGCATCTGTGGAGTTAATGATTGTACTTGTCTATAAAAGTTACTCATTGAGGAATAGTCATGCAGCGCTTGGCAGAGTACCTTGAATGGTGTTAGGCCTACATTAGTGAGTGCTAGGCCTCTGCAGGCCTGTCCTGGCTCAGGAGGATAGGGACTAAAATGTCCAGACCCACAATCAGAAGATCACATGGCAGCCTGATGATCAACACCAACTGCTAAGCCCAGCACACACTCTCACTGAGCCTCATGGGAGCACAGGTGGGTCCTCCAGGGATAACAGAGGTGCCAGTCGGGGCTAACCCACCAAGGCAGAGTCAGGATAGATGGCAGTTTGTGCAAAGCAGAGCTCCTCGGGGGAAGCTTCTTCTGGTGGCTGGTCTCACCTGCACCCCTCCGCTGCTGTGGTCCAACACTGCATGTTGGGTAGGAGGTCCTCCGGGGACTCACTGCCAAAGACGGTAGCCATTCCTGTCTGGCTCCCAGGTGATTCCACCTCCCTTCCTGTGCTGGTCTCTTGACCACTGCAGCAGAGCAGCACCTGCAGCCACACTGGCCGCCACTGAGGGTCCTGGCTCTTCCCACCCTGGGCTGCTCTCTCCTGGCCTTGTCTTCCTGGAACGCTCTCCCCGCCTTCACTGGCTAACGCTGCCTTGTCTTCATGTGCCACTTCTCCAGGCTTTTCAGAGCCTTTAGGAAAGATGCAAGTCCTCCCCACCCTCTCCCACCCCCAGCTAGACCACAAGCCCGATGCCACAGGAGCCATGTCTACCTATCTACTTCCTGATATGCCTCTCTCTCCCTGCTGGTGCCCAGCACAGAACCTGGCAGGTGGTGGGTTGGTTCACTGAATTAAATCATGATCAAATCGTACTGGACCCAAGCTAAACAAAGTTAGGGTGCAATTGTTGGTGCTCACTGAAGAGCTAGGATAGTTTTCTTTTGGGGTGGAGGTAGGGCAAGATGGAGTCCAAAAATGGATATCGAGAGAGCTGGGCAGGGGCTGGGGTCAGAAGGCTTCCTAGAGAGGGAAGAAGGCTGATGCAGATATTGCAAAGGGGGAGGCTGAGGAACGAGCTCATGAGGAAAGAAGGACTCAGGCTGCATATACCTGGCTGAGAAGGGTTGGGGCCAGCATCACTGACTGCCTGCCTAGCGTGAGGAGGGGCCAGGTCCTGCCTCCCAGAGGCTCCACACTAGACCCCTGCCCTGCCCTTGCCTCAGTACAAGGAATAGGACCCTGTAGGCAAGAGGTGCTCAGTGACCACTCGTTGACTAAATGACTGGATACACAGACGAATGAACAGATGGATGGACCAGAGTGTATGGATAATTAAGTTAGTGAGTCCAATACTATTTAATGCAAGGAAATGCGATAAAAATGAGAATATATTTTGATTCCAACAGTCTATTCTAGAGAAGTCAGGAAGAATCAAAAAAGAACAACTTCTTTGTATCACATAGGAATGACCCATCTGTTAAGGTGACATATGCCCCATTATCCAAGGGAAGGGGTCAGAAACCCAGGAGCTGGAAGTTAGGTGCTCCTTAAGCAAAAGCAGGCAGCCGGCCATGGGCACCTTCGTGGAAGGCCTCCCCAAGATCCCTTCCCCAGGGCTCACCAGGCCACACATTGATATGAGAACAGCTGGCCAGAACTGAGGGAAGGTCTAGCCCTCCTGTCCCTGAGCCACCCTCCAACTTAGGGGACACTCTGAGTCCCATGGTGTCTTCCCATGACCACCAATGGGATCTGAACCCTAGGGAGATTAGAAGGACCCAGCCCAAGAAGCAATGGATGGTCCTGATGGAGACTCTGCACACACGTGGTGGGTGGGGCTGATATGCATCTCCCTCCGGCCTGGGAGCATTTTCTGAAGGGTCCAAGGTTGGGGCTGCTCACACTTGTTCCTACCTGCTTGCACCTGGAGTCAGACGAAGAGAAACTCGGGGGCACCCGTGTCCCCACATATACAGGCACACTCTGAGACAAACACACACAAGCACACAGCAAACAGACCTATTCACCCACAGCAGAACACACAGAGGGACAGTACACAGCCACAGGGAGCAGCCAACAGGAGACTCACGTGGCAGGAAGCTGACTCAGGAGCCCAATGGGCCAGTTGGAGCCAGAGGTTGGGATAGCTCTGATGCTGAGGGAGGGCTAAAAATGAAGATGAATGAGGCCCTTCCAGAAGCCTCTGAGTCTGCGGGCAGCTCATTCATCTTCCTCACCTGGGGATGCCAAGAAGGCTCTGCAGCTCAGGGTGCAGGGTGGTGACAGATCAGTCCTCCACTGGGCCACAGAGTTATGAATCGCTTCATCCGGCCAGTGCACCCCCGCCCAGGGGGGCTGATAAGACTTCAGGCCAGCCTGGAACAGTGACAGTGCAAGGGACTCAGAGACCCTCAGTCAACAAGTGGGGACCCTGTGGCCAAGAGAGGCAAGGACTGAAGCAGACAGCAAGGCCTGACTGTTGTGGGGTACCTGAGTGGGGCAGGGGCTGGGAGCTTTCTGAAGTGTCTGCAGAAGAGCAGCTGCTGTGCTCTGGCTCACCACCTTTAGATGCTCCTCCCTTGGGGCTGGGGGCAGAGAGCAGGCCCATGAGGCTGCTCCATGTCCTGTCCAGGGAGGAGCAAAGGCTGTGGGACCTGGGCAGGTGCTGGGTGACGGGGGGGTGTGCCTGGGAGGAGGCAGGGGTTCAGCAGGTGCCAGGGGGAGATGGAGCCTCTCAGCTCAGCCCCCACTCAGGGTCCTTTGTTTCTCCCTCTCTGCCATCTTCCTTCCAGATCAATTTTGTATTTTTGTTCAACATTGTCAGAATCCTAATGACAAAATTACGAGCCTCCACCACATCAGAGACAATTCAGTACAGGTATGTGAATACCTGGGTGTCTTGACCCTGGCAGGGGGGAAATGAGGAGGTCATCTGGGCCTTCCTCTGCTCCAGGCAGAGCCCTCTGTGCTCACCCAGGGAGTTGCTCAGTCTCCCAGAAGCAGCACGGGCAGAGCGGCCCCATCTTCTGCCTGAGTGGGGCCCTGCCTGCAGCGCGGACTCAGGACTCTCATCACCCTCTCACCCCCAGGAAGGCGGTGAAGGCCACCCTGGTCCTCCTGCCTCTGCTGGGCATCACCTACATGCTCTTCTTTGTCAATCCTGGTGAGGACGACCTGTCACAGATTGTGTTCATCTACTTCAACTCCTTCCTGCAGTCCTTCCAGGTGGGCACCCCAGCCGCAGGGAGCTCTTCTGACCTGGATGCTCAGAGACATTCCTCTGAGGATTCAGGGTGGCTCCAACCCTGACACCCTGGGACAGGCCACAAAATGTTGAGGAGGCTAGAAACCCAGCTCTAGGCCAGAGAGCACCCCTCACTCAGCCTGGACCTGGTATACTGTAACTGGAGGGCTGCAGCCCCTCCAGCTCTGTCCCCTGGGGTCCTGGGTCGGTGTCCCCCGCCCAACCTGTCCCCCACCCCACCCTCCAGGCAGAGTGCTTCCTCGCCAGGTCCTGACTGCTCCCTCCTTCCTTCCTAGGGTTTCTTCGTATCTGTCTTCTACTGCTTCTTCAATGGAGAGGTACGAAGTGGGACCCTCTGGGTAGCCTGGGCTCTCGGGGTCCTCAGACTCCACTTTGGGGTGTTTTCAGTCAAGCTGCCCAGCCTTTCAGGAAGGTCTAGTCCTTGGCTCTGCTCGGCTCTGCCCTGGAGGAAGGAGGGGAAAGGGACTCCTCCTGTAGGGCCTGCAGCCAGTTTAGAGGGTCAACTATGCAGACCAGAATAGCATGCCAGGGCCCCATGCATGCCCTTGGGGAGCCAGGTGAGTAGGGTGCCCAGGCTGCAGGGTTTCATGGGATACCAATGCCAAAGCAGAGGTGGTGACAGGAAGCTTCCAGAAAGAGGTGAGGCTTCGCTATGCAATCACTACTTTATGGACTCAGATGAAAAGAGACCAGCCCGTAACCTCCACCCTCCACAGAAAAGAACACATGACCTGGGTAGACTCTGGGGGTGCCTGGCAGCAGGTAAAACCTGGCTAGCTAAGGAGACCCAGAATCCAAGTGAGTCACCAGGGAGATGCAAACCCAGGCAGTGGTGGGTGAGGATTTGCAGACACACTCTAAGGCCTGAGAGCGTCCAGATACCCCAGATGGACACAAGCGCCCTCCTGAGGCCACGTGGCCTGCAACTGCAGTGAATGATAGGCACCTATGTAGGCTGTGCCAGTCCATTAAAGATGGGCCTGGATGCAGAGCCCAGCAGTGAAGGCTAGAAACCCAGCTCCAGGCCAGAGACCACTCTGGCCCTGCAGTCTGGAGGGTGGCGGGAAAGGAGCTGCTGAAGCAAGCAACTGACATTTTTGTTTGTTGGTACTAGATTGAACTCAGGAGCACTCTCCCACTGAGTTACAGCCCCATCTTTTTTTTTTTCTTTTCTTTTCTTTTTTTATTTTTTTGAGACAGGGTCTCACTAAATTTCTGAGGCCCGCCTTGAACCTTGAACTGAAGAGTCTCCTGTCTCAGCCTCCTGAATCTCTATGAATCTCTAGGATTACAAGCGTGTGGCAGGATGCCCACGTAATAATGGATATTTATGTATTTATGTAACATTGATTCTGTTCCAGCCACGTGCTGGACTAGAATGCAAGAGATGATCATCTGACAGAATTCTTCCCTTCAGTACAAACAAGAACAGGTCCGACCAGGCTTAAAAATAAATGGAGGTGATGGAGGTGTTCTCTTTCTGTTTCGGGCAGTTTGTGCTGCACAGGGAAGGTGAGGGCTGCAGAGGAGGGGGTGACAGTCCTTCCTAAGGAGGAGGAAGCCAGGGACATGTGCACTAGGGTCACCTCCCAGGCCTGAAGGAATAGAGCCCAGGGGGCTGAAGGGGCTGGTCTACAAAGCCTCTGTTTGCTCTTTTTTTGTTTTTTTAGTTGTAGATGATACAGCACCTTTATTTATTTATTTATTTTTATGTGGTGCTGAGGAGTGAACCCAGTGCCTCACAATGCTAGGCGAGCCCTCTACCACTGAGCCACAGCCTCCTCTTCAGTCGCTGGGGAGCAGGAGTGTGGGGAGCAGGAGTGGGGTGGCAGAGTGTCCAAAGGAAACTGGACACTTCAGAAGGGTAACTTGGAACAAAGGAAGTGGGGGGGGGGGCTGGGCTTCTCCAGGAGAGTGACAGGGGAGCCTCAGAGAGAGCCTGCAGCAAGGAGGCAATGGGGTCAGGGAAGGACCTCGGTTTTGCCCCCCTCTTTAACAGCTCTGTGAGGGGGTGGGGGTAGGGGACAAGGCAGCCTGGTGGGCCACTGAGTCTACCGTCCCTGCAGGTGCGCTCAGCTGTGAGGAAGAGATGGCACCGCTGGCAGGACCATCACTCTCTCCGAGTGCCTGTGGCCCGGGCCATGTCCATCCCCACGTCACCCACAAGGATCAGCTTCCACAGCATCAAGCAGACAGCTGCCGTGTGACCCCTTGTCACCCACCTGTCCATCATCCTCCACCCTCGAGGCAGCTTCCCCACCCTCCTCTGTCTTCTTCCCTGGACCTTCTGGCCGTGCAGGCACTGGTGGCATAGGAGAAGGGAGGGAAGAGGCCAGCCCTCCAGCCGGGCAAGAAAGAGAGGGTGCAGCCACGGAAGAGGCTCCAAGGGACCAGGGCCACTGAAGCCACAAGCCTCCCGCAGGAGGGAGAAGAGGGATCCACCCCCCTGAGAAGAGCGGGTCAGATGTCATTCAACATTTGCCCACTGCCTCCTCTCTTGCTGGATCCGCACTGTAGCTCCATTCACAGATGAAGAAACTGAGGCTCAGAGAAGGCAAGGGTCTGCACCCAAGTCACACCGCTGGTTACCCCACTCATGGTACCAGCTGCTGGTTGATGGGTTGCCTCTGCTCACCGCCTTCCGCCGCCACACTCAGGGGCGCCCTCTGCTGCTGAAGGAGTTAAAGATCAATTCAGTTGGCCCCATCCCAGGGGCTGTCAGCTAGGGAAGCCTCCCCGTGCCCTGCCTCTGTCCATGCTGTCATCTACTCCCTCCCCAGCCGCCCTGCCCCTGGGGCTTCAGGAAGCTTCTGAGCCTGATGTCCCTCCCTGGAGAGACCTTTTCTCATCTCATTGCTGGGGGTGGAGGGGCAGGTGAGAGGGATAGGCAACCAGGGCAGCCATGCGCGTAGGCCAACCAGACACACAGTGGACAGAATGAGGAGCAGGAGTGGGCGGGGCGGGAGGAAAAGAGCAGGGTGGAGAGAGTCAAAACCAAAGTTGTGTCTTTGGTGGTTGGAACTAATCCCCCAGCCCCTTCTCAGACTGGGCTTCAGCCTCCCCCGATACAACATCTCTACTCTCTGAGAAATAAACCGTGACTCTGTGAAAATGGCCTCCTTCAGGTCAAGTGAGAAGGCATGGGAGAGGTGGTGTGGTCAAGGATGGGGGCTGAGTCTGCAGGGCACAGCCATGCCCACCCTCAGTAGTGGAGATGCTGGCCCTAACCCAGGTAGTCCTGCCTGTCTGACCTGTGGTAGGAGTCGTGTCTTCATGGTCAAAGTGCTTACAGATCCAATCCTTCCCTGTCACTCTCCCAGGCTGACATCTGTCCCCAGCCCCAATTCAGAAAGAGGAGGCACACAACTTGGCCACCACAGCAGGGCCAGTCCAAGGGCAAGGGTTCTGGAATCCACAGGGAAGGGTAGCCACGGCCCCTCAGACCCCATGAGTGACAGCCCACAGGGCAGTTTCCAGGTTGGCCTCCATCCCTGGGCCACTCTGGGAGGTGGTAGACATCAAGGAGAGGGAAAAGTTGCCGAGTTATTGGTATGAAAGGGCTTTCTCTCTAGGTACCCCCACAAAAATAAATTTTGAAAAAATATGTATCCCGTCTTGTACATTCTTCATTTGGCATTTAGTAAGTTTTCAAACATCCAAAGGATGTGATTTCTGGCATCTGGTAAATATTTACATTTTAAAATCAAACCACCACAACACTTTATAATACAATAAATGGAACCTAACAACACAGTGACTTAACACCCATCTATCGTTAACTCTAACTTTAACTCATCTGTCATCGAAAAAGAAAGTTGAACCAGCTCTTCATTAACAAGTGGAAATTGGTTGGCTGCAGTGGGACAGATGGCTGGGGACAGATGTCAGCCTGAGAGAGTGACACACCTGCAATCCTGGCCACTCATTGACTAAGGGAGATAGGTCACAAAGGGCTGGGAGGGTAGCCCAGTGACAGAGTATTTACCCAGGGCATGTGAGACCCTGGGTTCAATCCCCAGTGTCGCAAAAAAAAATAAAAAATTACACTATTTCCTTTCTCCCCCCCCGCCCCGTTTATTTTTAAAATTTTTTTGTGGTTGTAGATGAACAGCATGCCTTTATTTTGTTTATTTATATGTGGTGCTGAGGATTGAACTCGGTGCTGCACATGTGCTAGGCAAGCACTCTGCCACTGAGCCACAGCCCCACCCTCCCTGATTTATTTAATATTTATTTTTATGTGGTGCTGAGGTTCAAACCCAGTGCCTCACATATGCTAGGCAAGATCTACCACCGAGCCACCACCCAGCCTGCGTTATTTCTTCTGTTATCTCATATCTTCATCCTTCTGCTCCTACAGAATTTTACAGTGATACAATACTTTTCATGGTTGAAAGTATTGTTAACCACTGAGCCACATCTCCAGCCTATGTTCTACAGACAGGGTCTCACAAAGTTGCTTAGGACCTCACTAAGTTGCTGAGGCTGGCTTTGGACTCTTAATCCTCCTGCCTCCGCCTCCTGAGCTGCTGGGATAACAATCGTTTCTTTTTTGCATTACTCATACATGCTAGACAAGGACTCTGCCATCGAGCTACATTTTGAAGCCCTTTCTTTCATCCTTCTTCATTCCTTCTTTTCCTTACTTCTTTCTTTCTTTTATTCCTTTCATTATTATTTTAAATTTTATTTTGAGACAGGGTCTTGTTAAGATGCCCAGGCTGGCCTGGAACTTTGATCCTCCTGCCTTAACCTCCCAGGCAGTGGGGATTATGGGCTGTACCATTGCTCCCAGATGATCGAAAGTCTTGTAGCTCACATTCTCAAACTTATCTGCCACAAAATATGTTTTTGAATTGAAGATAAAGTACTTAATCTCCTGTGATCAAATGTTCTGTTTTTGAAACTATTCTAGAATAAGTATTACAACTTTTTTTATATATAAAATGTACTAACAATTGATTAGGGCAACATTAATTACTGAACATTTTTATAAGCGACTGTCAAGGCTAAAAAGAAACATTTATTGAAAACACACCTTAATGAAATCCATAGTTCAATTGCTCATGATTCTATGGATAATTTTACTGCAAGAATGAATTAGAACTCAAGATCAATTTTTTTTTCTGTTTTTCATTTTTGCTAGCTATGTGTGCTGAGGAGGCTTTTCAAATAAATAAGCAGACACTATAGCAATGCCACTCAATTTTCTATAATCTTTCTGAGATGTTTGCCCCAAATTGCATGTCAGCTTGTCATCAAAAATGATCTCTCAGTTGACCACTTAAGTCCTTTTTACATTTGACTGAAAAAAAAAAAAAAAAAAAAACCATGAAATGATCAGGCTTACAGTGGCCTTTGTTTCCCTGGTCCCGGCTCTTTCAGTGTCTCAGGTTGTGTTGGCTGGGGGCGACTGGTGAAGGGTTTTAATGTGGGACAGGCTGGGCACAAGCCCTGCTTCTCTTGTCAGGTGGGAGAGGCAGCTAGGATGCCCACCTTGCTTTCTCAGGACACAGAGCTCAAGCACCTCTTGGACACCGACCCCCCTGAGGTGCAGCGATGACCACATCTATTAGCATCACAGATGCTCTTGAAAAGAGGTGCAAATGGTTCAGCCCAAAAGGCCACTTGGAAAGCTCTGTTCAGAGGAAGAGACTGAGCTGGATGCTCATCAGAGTAGACACTGTCAGCCTCAGTGCCACTCCCCTGTCACTCATCAGTGCTCCTCAACACAGTCATTGGCTTGTTATCCCTCCTGTCGTGATCTCTGCTAGGAGGCTAGACCTGCTCAGTCCATCACCATGAAGAGCATTAAATTTTCCAGACTTTTTTCTAGCAGTTTCTGTTCTGTTCTCTTTCTGGTTGGGTAGAGATTCCACCCTAGCACAGCACCCCCTTGTTACCTGGACTCCAGGTCACGGCCCCCACAGAGCTCTGCCCTTGACATTCATGGGAGCCATTAGGCCATCTCACTGGGTCCCCACTGGTTATCCTCATTAGGGGTCTGCTCTTTGCAGCCACGCCAGTTCTCATTAGTGTCTGCTTCGAAGCTGGCAGTCACTTGCTGAATGGCCTTCCTGGAAAGTAGCCTCATTAGCAGACTCTCCTTTGTAGCAAGGAACTTCCAGCAACCAGACCCTGAGGGCCCTTGGACTCCTTGGTTAACCCTTCCACACACCCTGGTTTAGGAAGCTGGGGAAGACTTGCGTTCATGAGGGGATTCCTCACTCCAGCCGAGTCCCATGCCCAGTGACACACACAGAGCCCTGACCCCAGCCCCAATCATCAAAGTGGGGCCAAAAAGTGTCTGCTGGGGTAGCCACTAAATCACAGATATGGCTTCAGGAGTGGTGAGTGATGAGCATCTGTGGGGCCAGAACTGGAAGGTGAGCCTGGAGGGTCCATGAAGGAGGTGCTACCTGAGGCCAGAAGAGCCCTGGTTCTCTATGGAGGATGGCTGGCCAGCATCAGAGAAGATGGATGTAAGATGGATCCAAGACATTGACAGAAAGTGACCCCAACATGCAGGCTGCGTAGAGATGGACACACACAGCTCTCTGGTGTGGAGGCAAACACTCCTGCGGCTGCAGAGGGAGGCCCGGGTGACTGTGAGCTGTGTGCATGAAATGAAAGCATGGAGACTCCCAGAAACATGCAAATCAACCCCAAGACAGATGGACACACAGCCATCTGTCATTCACTGTCCATTAATTTGACACCCATGTGGTCCAGCAATGGAAATGATGGGCAAAGGGCAGGTCACTCTTTCAAGACACTCAGAAACCTTGGGAAGAAATGGCTCTGAAACCAGCATGAAGTGAAAACAGGAAAGAGACCTGGGCCTCTGCTCCTGCTGGGTGGGTCTCTGGTGTCCACTTCCGCATGACACAGTGCAGGGAGAGACAGCAGCCTGCACCTGTCCTTGGACCTCTGCTTTGTCTGGGTTGCCTGGCCCACACCCAAGGCGGCTAAGCCAGATGGGGCTCCTGGGCACAACAGCCTGTACTGCCCTCCATTGCCCTCCACTGTCCTCCACTGCCCTCCTACTTCCCACCACTTACCTCCCAGGCCCTGGGGCTCCTGGACACCACACAGACTGCTCTTGCATCTTGAGCATCTTCAGGGCCCACAGGCAGGTGGAGAGCAGGTGCAAGGAGGTGCTGGAGGGGCTGTCCCAGGAGGGACAGGTGCAGGGACTGGTGAAGGGCATGCTCAGGCCATCCATTCACATGTTATGGGGCACCTGAGAGCAGCTGCAGGTCCCTGAGGCACTGGGGAGAATCCTGTCCTTGAGTGACATTTCAGCCAGGGGCAGGAGAGTCCTGTGGTTAAGAGGTATGCCGTGGTGGAACTGGTGGCTGAGGGGAAGGAGTGCAGGAGAGAACTAAAGAAGCCAGACCCCTCCAGCCACAGAGCCTCTTGAGGGGGCTGCTGGACCTCCCTTGCAGCCAACAGGGTGGTGGTGGCTACAGGTTTTGGAAGTTGGTCTTTCCAGGCTCGGTGGCAACTAGGAATCTGCAAGCTTCCCAAGCCCTTCACCAGTTCCGATTGCCATCTGTGTGGGAGCCAGCACACAAGGACACCAGCCCTGTCTCTTCTTCCCACTACATTATACACCCACGCTTGTATACTGCAGAAAGTGAAGGTGAGACCTTTTTGGAAACATCTAAGGGTAGCAGGAGAGGAGGAGACATGTTTAAAACATGTAAATTTACTCATCAATATGCCTAGTAGGGTTTCCAGGCTCTGCCCCTAAGACACCACTAAATCTCCAGAGGGGGCTGTGCCACTTAGAGATGTTAATTAGCAGGTGTAGCAGGTGGAATGGGCGGAAGGCGGGCTGACATTGCTGCCCTACGCTCAGCAGAGATGAGTTTCCTTCAGATTTCCTGCTGGGAATTCCTTTTCTTTCCCTTTTTTCTTTCTTTTCTTTCTTTTTTTTAATTTCTTAAATTTTCTGGGTACTGGGGATTATTGAACCCACTATAACTCTACCATTCTACCACTGAGACAGGGTCTTGCTAACCAGGCCCAGGCTGGCCAGAACTTGCAATCCTCCTGCCTCAGCCCCCGAGTCCCTGGGATTACAAGCGTGCACCCACCTTGCTCCGGGTTTCTTCACTCAGGCCTTAAGGCCCTGCCCTCAGGGGCTGTAGTTTGATGGGAGAGCCCACCATCTGGGTGGCCTTAGGATCCACCAGAAACTTCTGCCAAATGGCTCTTTCTAGGGAGCTTTCCTACCAGCGCCAGGCAGACCTGGACCCTTTGAGGGCTTTTCTAGCAATCTTTGCAAGCTCCAGAGCCAGGCTGGGAATTATTCCTGGGGACACATGCCATCATTTATGCCCACAGCAAAAGCTCTACCCCCACTGGAACTCTAGACACGCTCTTTGAATAAACTGGCCTTCCTATTGTCCCACCCAGACCTAGACGAACCCATAGGCTGGACTCCAGTGCTAGCCAGAAAGACAGACTACTAGCTCCACATGCAGGAAAACCCATTGTCGGGCTCCATACCTGGCCCCCACGCCCTCCCCACCCTCCACTCCACTGGGTTGCCAGTGTCCCCTCTTCTTCACTTCACACACACGACCATCTGGGAGCATGA